AATCCGAAGAATAATAGGAGCCTGGTCCAAACTACTCAGTGAAAGCAGCGTCTGTGCTGAAGAGACATAACTGTAGGATCCAACTAAGTTTTGAGAAATACACAGATGATCCGGAGAAGGTCATTCCGTTGAATACCGCTTGGAAGAAAGCCGTATCGGCGAAAGTCGGTTCATTAGAGTGAAGTCTTCCTTTTCGGCGAACGTTGATTCAACGTGGCAGGCTTCAGCGAAGCAGAAGGTCGAGGTAGCTGGACGCAAGGAACACTTCTTTTCGCTGAATGGGAAGGAGACGATGAAGTAACCACTGACAGGCGTTGAGGCAAGGTAGACTGATTCCTCTTACTACTGGATGAACGACGAGAGTGGGAACGGCTTCTGCACATGCGCTCTGCGCAGTCAGGCGTAGAGATCAGCTGATTCTTGTCCGAAACAGATAAGCCAGGTTGCCTAGATAACTGGTCCAGAGGGAGAACGAGAGACAGAGAGCGTAGTTCGAAGTTCGTAGTTCGAAGTTTACATCGTTCCACTCAGTGTCGAATCAAGAGAGATAAGTGCATACCGTGAGATAGGACAAGTTTAAAAATCAGAAAACTCAAAACCACTGCTAAGTTGAAATGAATATCTATAAAAATCAGTTAATAAATCAATATTTAAATGCAATTGCAGTTAACCACCAATTTTGACAACATTTTTAATGTAATGTGGACCTGACAATAAAAACAACAGGATAACAACAGTAAATGACGAACCAGCTATACTGGGGACTCACAGTAATTTACTTCATTTAACTCAGGAGAGTCAATTACTAAAGTAAATGAATGTTGTTTAATGCCACAGTCAACACCTCTAACGAGTAAATAAATAAATTTGGATAAGAGAAACAAGTGATTCCATTATCCGGTTTATACCGGACTTTGACCGGTACAAAGTTGGAGTGTCCGGTAATTTCAAAGGCTGTCGGTCATCGTGTCCGGCAAATTTTAAAATCAATTTTCTAATTACCTCTGTCAAGTTTATTTCTCCTCGAAAAAAGATTACATTTTCACAATGACATCAATGTGTTGTCAAATAAGAAATAGCAGTTTTGGAAAACCCCAGGCTAAAAATAGCAGCATTGATGCATGGCCATACCCTCTACATTTCTGATTGGTTGTCTCACGCACAATGAAAAGCGTGATCACTTGATCGGTAAATTTTACAAATGACCGGTATTTGAAATGCAAGTCGGTCACAATGTCCAGTTGTAAAAAAATGCCAGCATAAACACTGTAAACGCATATCTTAACAAGGCTAAAACTTTTTCCTGAATGCTATCCTTTCAGAACAATCATATTTTAACAATGCCATTTGATTTAGCCGTGACATTGTCATTATTACAAGGAATTTCAAACTGTGGCCATATCATCAACCTTAACAAACACTGCTCCCTCCTGTGTACATACCATGACAGATGCACCTGGAATGGGATGTTGTTGAACAAGTAGGGGAAGGCAATTCTGTACTCTGTTCTCACTGGCTGCCGGATGATGATCTTGTTGATGTCATTGAACTCATTCCAGTCCTCATCACTGCAAAACAATTGTTTTCAAACACATAAGAAAACATATCTCAAACAGCAAATTTCATGACAGATATAGACTCACAGATTTCTAAGTTCATGTTACATATTTATTACTAATGTTATGGCTGTATTGTTTTATCTCTCTAACTAGTTTGAGCATAGAATGAACATTTCTCAAAGTGCCTGCCAAGGGCTCAAGGTTTGGAATTATGGATAATTCCCTGCACCACCAGTCTGAACCAAGAGTAAAACATTTACTTACTGCATGTCCTTATCTTTGACCAGAGGCTCAAACTTGGGTCCACCAGGAATAGCCAGGTTGAGAGCTTTGGCTGTGAAGAAGGACTTGAGGTCAAACAGATAGAAGTAGTTCCTGTCGACCAGATCAGTGAGCAGCTGATTGGCCAGTCGATACAACACAGACAGCTGGGGTAGAGTCAGGTTCCACTTCCTGTATGTTGTCCCATTCACATGTCTGGAGGAAAAAGGAGCACTGACAATAAGTAAAGCAAATACAAAAGTGACAATTTAAACCACAATCACACATAGAAACCATCAAAAACATTTAGAACTGCAATGCCAGCTGTCATAATAGAGCATATCTAACTATTCATAACCACACATTTCAATTTCCTGACTCTTTTAGAACTGACATGGAAAAGAGAACCACAATCCTAATTTCTAAAAGTGAAGGTGCATAGTTTTAAGCTTCATGGTGATTGAATGAGTGAGTTGGGTTTTACACTGCTTTTAGCAACATTGCTATCACGGGAGCCAGACATTCCATGGCAATATAGGCTACCCCACCGTTCTTTAAGCTTCAATACTGAGACTCCAATATTCCAGCAACATCACACATGGGCTTCACACATTGTACCCATGTGGGGATTCGAACCCGGGTCTTAGGGGTGACGAGCCAACGCTTTAACCATTAGGCTACCCCACCGCCCCTTAAGCTTCAATAAACAATAGTCACATCATATCATGGTGCAGAACACCTTGTACTTCTCAAACGCTACCAATACAGGAATATAATGATTGAAAAGAGAGTGACCAGCTGAAGATTTTAGCATCTACATGAACCTGTCACTGACAGTACCATCAGGTGTGTCTGGGGAAGATAAACTTTCTAAATGTCATATATCTCTCAGACTCCAGGTGACCACACAGACAATCAGATATATGCTTGTCAAGATTTGTCATCACAGAGATATACAATTCTAAAACACCCACCAGACCCTGAATAAAATGGGTCTTTGAAGACATGTTAGTATTGTTACAAGACAGGGGTGGAAATAACTTTAAAATTGCTAGTGTACTCAGGTACACTGGCACATGTAAAATCACTTGCCCTGATACTTTTTCCACTTTAAAATCCGTTTTTCTATGTGCCATTTCTTAAATAAAAACATACGGTTTAATAATGGAAAGTCAACTGGACACAAAGTACAGCATGATATACAAATCGAGAAAAATAACAATGACAGCAAAAAAACACTGGACTGGGATCATTTTGCTGAAAAATAATGACATATCTCCCTGGACCCCAAAAATTTGAAAGAACAAATCATCTGACAGTTACTTAAAGTCCAACTACATCCCCCACATTACATGCTGAGGGAATAATAACGCTACTTACTTGGAGTCAATGAGTGGCTTGTGTTCGTACAGCCAATCCCCGACATCTTTGTCTTCATCTGGGTCCAGATCCATCTGAATTGCCTCCAAAGGTTCCACATCCAAGACGTTGTCAGCATAGTCTAGAGGGGGCTCCTCATCATCAAAAGGTGGGAACCTCATCCGTTTGAAGTGACGCCGATCACGTTTCTCTCTTCTCATCATGATCCACATGGTTCTAAGCAATTACAGATTAATCAACATTAGTTTCAGGATTAATCAACATTAGTTTCAGGATTAATCAACATTAGCTTCAGAACAACTCTTTACAATTGGTATACAGTGGAAGCTCTCAAAACCGGCAGCCCTCCAGTCCGGCATGCTCTCAATATCGGCACTAGAATTTGGTCCCGGCAGAAGCAAGTTATTTTATGATCATTTACATGCCCTCTAATCTGGCGTGAGCCTATTCCGTATTTCGGCACAACAAGACTGCCCAATTGACTGTTTGTACAGTAATTAACGCTCTCAAAACCGACATCGGGTATCTCGGCTCTCCTGTTGATTGGCTGAACATGTATTAACAACACAGTTGATTACCATCGGCATTAAGCTCATTAATGTTGCCTGATAAAAGGAGTATGGTTATGGATTAGGCCTAAGTAGGTGAGGTGAGGTATTATAAATTAATTGTGTCACAATTTGTCAGTCGCTCACAGTGTCAACATGGCTAGACCAGTCAAGCAGGCTAGATTGGAATTAACTCTTGAACAGAAAATTAAGACACACAGAAGATCATTCTCAGGTTGAAATGGGAGACGTTCTCTAAACCGACACGCCCTCTATACCGGCATTTTTTGCCGGATCCAACAAATGCCACTTTAGAGGGCTTCCACTGTATTAAGATACGTTTTAATAAGAAATCTGATCACAGTCACCTAATTCTACCTTCTGTATGAAGACGATCAGAAATTTCTTTGACAACATAACAGAATTACCCTTGAAGGATACAATGTAACTTTGAGACAACACCTACCCCCATTGTGCAATATACACCGGTTCAATGACCCAGGGTATCTCGTTGACAAATGTGATGGCGCCGGTGATGTGGTAGAGGACACTGACGTCACGTATCTGCTCCCATGGCATTGGCATGTTCTCCATTAGTTTCATCACTGCATGCGGCATGTACTTCAGGGCACTGGCAACCAATTAAATTATATTTTTCAGAACAATGTTGCACACATCTTCATCACTACAACCTGTAAATGATGGTCTTGGACAGAGGTACATATAAGCTGCGTATCTGCGTAAATTATGCAAATATTTATGTGAAAACTCAATTCCTATTAAGTCTATTGCATACAAGTATGCTTGAATTTTTGTAAATACTCGATAAATGTGATCTTACATGCGTACACAAATGTCAAATCTTAGCTCACGTACCGGTGGATAGATAAAATAACAGGTATATTGAGAGGTTCTATTTCAGGACATGAACTTAGCAACTTGCAATCTTTCTTATCGTTTCTCACATTACAGATCAAATATAAATAACAAACACAGCATTTAAACTTTATTATTATGTTTTTAAAATTAATGGAAAATGGCAAAATACCCAATTGAGTTTGAATGAGGTGGGTACAATATATTTGGTTACTCAAAAGAAAATAAGGATACGCAATTGAGATGAACACAAGCGAGTACATAACTCAATGACCCAAAAAGTTATCTGTAGCTCTGCTTGGATGAACCAGTTACTGAAAGTCCTAGCAAATGTCAAGGCTTATCTGTGGAGGATAAACTCTAAATGTCAGATATATCTCTCAGACTCAAGGTGACATCACAGACAATCAGATATATGCTTGTCATGTTTGTCATCACTGAGATAAACTCATCGAGGAACAAGGTGACCGAACCAATCACTGCATATGACAAACATAGGTTGCAGTCTTCTTATTCTAACCCACAATGATTATTGATATGAACTCACATTAAGGATATTGACAGCACTCTTCAGAGAGGATTTGACACACAATCAGTTAAGACATTCATTGATGCCACTGTTTCTCATTAATCATCTCTCTCAACAAGCACAGGTTTCAGAGGACAGATTGTCACACAAAATCTAAAAAAAGTCCAGGGCTGGCTAAAATGGCCGATAAGCAGAAATATTGTCGATATTAAACAATATTAATGATTATCGATGTGAAAATTGTGGCATTAACTTTGTGAAAGAAAAGAGTTTTAATTTTCTCACATAATACACAAATTTAGGACTTATTTCATGGTCTGCTTCTAAATTATGTTCAAGATGCTGTTTTGTTAATAATCCATCACAAGTCACCAGTGATGTGAAACACATTCATTTCTTTCAGACATTTTTGGCCCATCTGCTCAAAGTTGCATCTCCAATTTTTATCAATAATCGATCAATACTTAGTTATCGATTATTAATCTCTATGAATAATATCGAGACCCAGCCCTACAAAAGTCTTCAGTTGTTTCTATGGAGGACAGTCATACAACCTCAAATTTGAAATTCTATTCCAGTTTATCAATGGAGGTGAGGTGAGGTGAAATTGGGTTTAACGTCGTGCTTGAGAATATTTCGCTCATATGACAACATGCATGCGTGTGTATGTGCATGTGCGGCTGCTTGTACTAGCCCAGACTTATGCTGGTTTTATAGTGCTATCCCACTGAGATACCATGCCGCAGTGAAGCATGAATACCCCACTCAGACACATTATACTGACTCTGAGCTGACCAGTCCTTGTTGTACCCATTAATGCCGAGAGCCAGGCAGGGACCAACAAGTACCATATCTTAACGTCTTTTGGTATGACACGGTCGAGGATCGAACCCGCGACCTTCCGCTCTCTGGGCGGACGCTCTAACCACCACGCCATGGAGGCGGTCAGTTTTATCAATGGAGAAATCAGTAATAGATCAGTTGTTTCCATTGAAGACAGTTACACAATGACAAATTTTGTTATATAACAATAAACAAACCATTTTCTGACACCACTCTGTCATCTTCAAAGAGAACATTATTTTAAGTGAGGGCAGTGCATATAACAAAGCAAATCATAGAAACTTGATGTGTCACAGTGTATAAACTCACCCTAAATACACTCTCTTGTCATGTCGGAACTTCCTGTTGGTCATGTCCCCGTGATCCCGGATAATCTTCCGCACATGTTCTGGGGGCATGTCTTCCTTCTGGGCATCAATAAAGCCAAACTTTCTTTTCTCAGCATATCTCTTTGATTGAAGCTGTTGCCATTTACGAGCTGAAGGAATAAAAAAATACCTAAAACTGCTGCTGTCATCATCATCAATGTATTAACTGTCGATGTAATACATTTGATTTATGCGATTTTATTTGTTTCGTTACTAGAGTGGTCGACACTGACAGTGTTTCAAAGTACATAATAAAAATATTGTTGGTTGATTTTCAATTATTTTCAAAACAAGGCCATTACACTTTATTTCTCTTCCAGAAGCCCTGAAAATACATCATGCTGTTTAACTACGGTAAAGTTACCAGTGTTTGGTAAATATTTTAATGCATCATTTCTTTATACCTGTGTATCATATATGTACGACTGAAGAAAGGTCACAGATAGCCTAACTTAAAGTAACACCTTGGCGAGTTATGTGACTGGAACCACATCACTGTTATTTAAAGTACCAACCATCAAACAATATCTTACCCTTCTCTTGCAATTTCTCCTCCGTCATGTAGTCTGGCACTTTAGGTTGTTGAGGCGGGGGAGGTTGGGGAGGGTGTGGCATGGGTGGCTGCTGCTGTGGGGGAGCCATAGGAACTACTATCTGCTGCAACACTGGCTGACTGATCAAGAAGGGCTGGCCTCCAGGCCCTATAACAGTATAGGGGAAGGCCATCCTGGTAGTTTAGCTTCTGAAACAAAAGTTCACATGTTCAGTTAAAAGGGAATTTTGAATTTTGAGGTATGTATATTGTCAAATCTACACACATTTTCCGTCAATCAAACCTTTTAAATCACAACAACATGTATCTGATTGTAACTGCTGACAGCTGAAGAAGCTTTATTCATTGAATTAGAAGGAAAAAGATTGAAAAGCAGATGGGAATATTTGCCACTGGTCATATTTATGTGTGTTCTTGTTTGATTGTCAGTCCAGGAGTACTGCACACTTTCTCAGATTAATTAGCGCTGCTGGGGTTCCCTAACCCTAGGGATCGTAAAGGGTGGCATACCCTAACCCTAAGGATCATAAAGGGTTGCATACCCTAACCTTGCACTATACCAGGAATACGAGTTTATTCATATGAACTATCCCTAACCTAAAGGGCATTCTAGCCGTCAATCCATATTTACATTGGAAAAAAACATTCTGTCATGCATGAGTAAATAATCAGTGTGGCAATTATGATGTTTCATATAATCTTATTTTGACATGTCTGTATGTGAAACATAACACCAAATCGATGTTACAATAATCATAATGCTGAACAATCTCGATTAGTCCCAAATTTTGTTATATATGTCTCTGGATGAAGATAAACATGTATATACCTTTTCACTGTAAACCTGTTTGGTTTTCATTATATTTCAATGATTAATGACAAAGAAATAACAATAAAGTTATCTTACTGACATTAAACAAACAATGCCAATGGATGAGTTTGGGGGATTAGTGGTCTTCATTTTAGTTGCTTGCAAAGAGGAAAATGCAATCTGAACATACAAAATATGCATGATAGATGGAAAAGGCGTGTGGGTGTTAACTGCCGCAAACCGTTGGCGTCCTCTTCAACATTAAACATTACAAATCGACATGCAGCCAAATTAACAACAATGATCAACAAACACGTTGGGAATCTTTGCACACAGAACAGATACATGTATACCAATGAAATAGTTATGTGAACATGTAAATGAATGCAAACAGGTTGATCTCCAAATGAGAATAACTAAATGCTTGCTTAGAGCTTACCTACGTTTCCTTATGAACTGTCTTTCAAAACTTCGTTCGATTATTAAAGTTTCGTCCGCTGCACGTTTCTTATACGCGCACAAAGATGGACGCGACGTGCAGTTTACGTAAACCACGTGACTTGCATGGATTGTACAAAAGAAGAAATCGCATTTTGTAGCGATATTATTCGGAAAAGGGGTGGCCATTTTCTTTATCCTTTCATATTCCAAACCACTTCTTGCCTGAATAATATATGTGTTCACGTTGTATAGACTACTCATTTAGAAAAGCCTAGAACATTACTCTTGAGTTGAAGAATTTCTATCCTATTCTGCAACATGAAATCAACTGTTGATTTTTGCAATACCAAGAGCAAATAACTCTATGTTTTCCATTTACCCGGATACGACCGAATATTTTAATTCACTAAACAACACACGTCCATTTCGGTGAAAATAATCATGACAATTTACTGAAAAAGCAAATGTTTGAAGTAGTACATTATCATTAAAAATCCATGAATTTTCATATTAGTAACCTTCACATATCATATAACTAAATACAAAATGACCGTGATTTAAGGTGTTAATCTTGGAAATACAGATAAAGGTTCAGAGGTCCCTTGGCTAATCTCTTGTTTATTGTTGATGTTGATCTTATTGTTCATATTGAGGGTAAGGCAATACTCATTGATAATGACAGCATGCTTCTAGGTAGGTTTTATTTTGCATATGTACACAGATATATTGATTTGCATAAAAAAATCTCTAAAACAAATCCATGAAATTGAAAGATTATATGGTAGAACACACTTAAACAGGTCAGTAGATTATATGTGTAATTTAATGGCTAGATAAGTGAATTGTTAAGAAGACAAGTCATGTCTGTGCGTGTGTGGCATGTGGTCTGTTGTCATAAATATATGTAACAGCAGTTGTCAACCTGAATTTATTACTCTTTATGTTTATTTAATTGACAAACAATATGTACACACATATACATATATATATATATATTTTAATTATTTAATTTTTATATTTGAAAATATTTATTTCCTGAGTACTTTTGACAAATAAGGCGATACAGCCAGGGGACTGTAAAGCCTTCTACAAAGTTGTTATAGAGGTGAGTGTTGAACAATGGGATACACCTGGATTGGTTTCTTTTAAAAAAAGACACAACAACACACTACAACTTATTCACTCACCAATCACTCATATAATGTTGAAACAATTACAAAACATTTTGACACTTTGGGGTTCAACATTATCAAGACTAACTACTTGACCATCAAAGGCAATTAGAAAACAATCAGAAAGATCACTTGAAATTTGCAAGATCATGATATAACATCCACTTTCAAAAAAATTATCTTCTTCGCTTTCACTAAATGATATATTCTTTTTGATAAGATACCTATTATGTACATATTGTTTAATGTGTTTAAAACTAAGAGTAATTTTTAATACTTTACATTTATAGATGAAAAATTTACCTAACAATAATAATAGATAAAAAATATTATCAGTATATATGTTTTTTCTCATTCCAAACACAATAAGTCGTAGATCAAAGTTGATATGTTGATATACATATGTTTATATATTATTGTTCATGGACTCATGATGTTGATTGTATCGCTAAAACGATGCACCCATTTTACTGTCTTAGAGGTTTTAAATATCGTCTCTCATGTAAAACCCTACAAACAATGTGCAAACAATTTATTTTCCAAATTTTCGATTATTGTTGTCACATCTGGGACAATTGTACCAAACAGCAAGCACTTACACTTGAAAAACGTATTCTTCATGCACTTAGAACTATTTGGGGTGGTGTTCACATTATGAGTCATAAAATTTTTTATTATAAGACAAATTTCCAACCACTATGCACGTGAAGAAACATCCAAAAACTAACAATTTTTTAATAAAATTAATAACATTTTAACTCCAAAATATCGTTCCTCCTAAGGTATCTGACACTACAAACTACAATTTCCGAGGCTGTTTCAAACTTCAAACTACAGATTTAAAAAGTGCAAATTATGCCAAGTCAGTTCTCCCAGATACAGTAGAATTGTGGAATTAAAATGTATTTTTATGCTGAAAGATATTCATTACTATACAGCTCTAATGGATCTTCTAAAGATGATCTTGAAATATTTGAATCTATCCATTCTTTCATTGTACTATCAGGCAGATTTGTGTTGTAAGTAGTTAAAACGAAATTGCACTAACTAGTACTTTGTGACACTTATAGTTCTAATGTTATAGGCTATTGGTTGTTTGTTTGTTAATTACATGTTTTTCTCCACATGATTGTTATATTAATACCTTATTTGCATCCCAGAGCTGTATTGAGATGAGGAAACATACTGCTTGTTTTCCAATCCGGTTACACTTTTTTAAATAAATGTGTTTAAACCATTTATATATGTATATATATTTATAACATGACACATGTCAATTTGAAATGTATTTCCTTGCTTTGAGTTACTTTCTCAAACACGTGTTTACTATAGTGAGTGAGTGAGTTAAGTTTTATGCCGCTTTTAGCAATATTCAAGTAATATGACGTCGTTGAACACCAGGAATGGGCCATATATGTAGGGAACCAAACCAGTGTCTTCGGCATGACAAACAAACGCTTTAACCACTGGGCTACCCCACCACCCTGTTTTTATAATATACTACTACTACCACTGCTGCTGCTGTTACTACTACTACTACTAGTAGTAGTACTATAGTATGACCAGAAATTATTGAGAATTTTAGGAATATGTTTAATTGGATTTCTAGAATAAACAACCTTGACCAGCTATCAAGTGCTTGGTTTCATTCAAGAGAGACAACTCCATTAATCCTTTTCATTAGTTTGTGAAGAGTTATCCCCCTTTGTTTACTTGCTAGCAGACGACAATTTCAGTGATCCTCAGTATGGATGATTTAGAGAAGAGGAAGTTGATTTCAGAGTATTATAACAAGGACATCAGATCAGCTAAAGTGATTTCAAGCAGAACAGGCATCCATTTGTCCACTGTTTATCATGTTTGAAAAATATTGCAAATGAATATGGCATTGAGCACCAGGGAGGCGCAGGTAGGTCCAGAAACTTGACTGTCGGTGACAGCAGGAGGCTTGGTATTCTTGTTTCTAAAAACAAACGAAAGAGTTTAGAAAACTTAAGGCTGGATATGATTGATAGAGGAACTGTGGCTGTCGGTAAGGAGACAATTAGAACTGCGCTGCATGCAATGGGTTGGCAGAAAAGCCGAGGAATTCCATCACCGATCATGAAACCTGAACAAAAGGAGCGAAGGATGAACTGGTGCTTACAGCATAGAAATTTTAACTGGGACAATGTGATTTTCTCAGTTGAAAGTTCTGTGTGGCTGTTTCCTAATACACTGAAATTCTGGACCAAACAAACTGAGAAACCTTTGTATCAGCGCCCAAAGTACAGTCCGAAATTTAACGTGTGGGGTGGCATATCTGTGTTAGGGGCAACGCCCCTCTGTGTATTTGAAGGGAATATAAACAGTGAGCAGTACACAGATATATGCTCGAGGGACATTTACTTCCATCTGCTCATGTGTTCTATGGAAATGTTTGGATTTGCCAGCAGGACAACGACCCAAAACATCGTTCAAAGCATTCACAGGCCTGGTTTCGGACCCAAAATATGACATTATTAGATTGGCCAAGCTGTAGCCCTGACCTAAATCCAATAGAAAATGTTTGGGGACTTATGAAGGAAAGTGTCAATAAGAAAAATCTGACAAATATTGCTGAAATGAAAGAAGAGGTGGTCCGATATTGGGACAGCATGGACCACGACTTTCTAACTTCTTTGATCAGTAGTATGCCCCGCTGCATTGAAGCCTGCATTGCTGCCCATGGTGACTTGACAAAATACTAACTGTTCACCTGTCTTTGAATCTGGAGTTATGTTCTGCTAATATTCACATTAATACGTGAGTAATGAGTGAAAAAAATATTAAAAATTACAATCTTTAAATTGTCAATAATTTCTGGTTGTACTGTACTACTATTACTAATACTACTACTACTACACTAAAATGGATACACAATGCCAGTTAGAAAGTGGTCAAATGCCATTTCAGAAAGTGGTCAAATGCAAAATATGTAATATCTGGAGATTTCACTTTCATTAATGGGTACAACAAGGACTGGTCGGCTTCGAGGAGTCAGATTTGAGTGGGATATTACTTCAGCGGCATGGTATCTCAGTTAATCCCCATCTGGGCTAGTACAAGCATTTGAACTGACACTGTCAGAATGAGGCACCTAATTGCCAGCACACAAAGTCAGTGATCTAACCCACTCAGCCACCACATCTTCCACAACAATTCAGGAACTCTAATAACAAATTTAACATCTAACATAAATAATAGTAGTTCAGATGAAATTCGTCTCTACAGCCAGACCAATTTTATTTCATGTTTTACGGATTTTTTTCCTCAGAAAACCTAAAGGCCGGAGATAATGCAAAAACACAAAACAAAAAACAACATCACCAGTCATAGTAATATTCCTTTTAAATGCTATACGTATTTACTTTTGGCAATTTATGAAGTGTATATGGGGCAAAAAAAACAGTCCAAAAAGAGTTTCTTGTTAGTTTACATTTTTGGCCAATAAAAACATTATGATTTATAGTTTGAGCGGGGAAAATTAAATATTATATTTTGTCTTATTCTTGAAAAAATACAACCGGCGGATCCATAAAACAAGAAATAAAATTGGTCTGGCCTAAACTAGCTAAAAATTATCTAAATACTATGCAATGTAGTTGTGAGAATCGATGGTGGTGTCCAATGCTACAATCCAATAGACTGTAATATCACATACCTCTTTCAAGCAGTGATAGTTTTACTTGTTTTGATAGGTGGGTATGTCCATGAAACAGGTGTTGTAGCTAAATATATATTAAAAGTGGAAGTTACTGGTGCATGATAATGTGTTTGTGCACAGTCAACGACATCTGATGAGCAATGGGATTCCTCAAACATGGAGGTGTGTTCTTTGTGTCATTTTACCAAGTTAACTATGGTGCAACTGCATCGATGTTTTGTCACAATATCTTTCGTTGGTTTATTTTAGGAAGTTATTTTTTGAGGGACAGACATATAGCTTGGAGCCCTGTATTCTGAATGACATGTTCAATGCATTTATGGAGATCCAATGTACCTACCCTTAAATCTGAGAAAAATATAGCATAAATGTTACTTCAAACTTTATGCTTGACCAGATATGTCCAAAATCTGCTTCCTTGACAGCTTGTTTTGCTTGAAACGTTTATTTTCAGAGTTACTTGTAGAAACGGAATCAAGAACTGTATCAAAAACTGTATAGCCTTCTTAGGATAATAGCCTCAGACTTTTGCATGTATTTTCATTAAAACATATAATTGAGATTTCCCTTAGAAATGAAGGCACCCTTGAAATTCATTTGTAAATTTTCCAATGTCTGTGTATCCACACATTAACATGTGTCACCTACTAAGCTTGCTTTTTAACAAAGCACTTATCATAATAATAATAATGTGTCCATTTATATAGCGCGCCTCACTCCACACCAGGTATGCCCACAGTGCTAACAATGAATAGCACAGCACATTATTACCCTGGATAACCAAAGCTGTTATGTGCAAGAAGGTTATAGTCACATGACTTATCCCACCGGGTACCCATTTTCTGCTGGGTGAGCAGAGACAATTTTGAACAAACTCACTTGCCTAAGGTGAGACCACAAGTCAGGATGCAAGCTGCAAAACACGGTCACCCATCCAAGGACTCTCGTTGCTCAACGTTGCTTAACATTGCTTAATTTGCTTAACTTTACCTGATTTGACCTGAGCTCTGTGCTCAAGACCACCACACTCAGCAGTATTCCAGCTATGTGAAAGCAGTTGAATCTATACTGGACAATCCAGTGATTGACATCATGAGCATAAATCAACATATTTGGGATAGAATGACATGCATCAACCAAAATCAGAGAGCCTGACCATCTGATCTGATTAGTTGCCTCTTGCGATAATCATGGGTTATTGAAGACCAGTTCTAACCCAGGTGTTCAATCAGGGGTGGAAATAACTTTAAAATTGATAGTGTACTCCCGTACAGTGGCACATGTAAAGTCACTTGCCCTGATAATTTTTCCACTATACCAACCGATTTCTTGCTGATTTTTTAAATAAACATCATAATTACCATTGGAAAGTCAACTGGACACCGGTACAGTGTGATATACAAATTTGCTTGCCCGACAGAAAAAAACACTGGACTCGGACGTCTGGCAATGGGTTATTTCCATCCCTGTCAATACTGACAACTTAATGGATAACAACTTCATGTTTGTTGTGAGTGTGTACAGATTCTTGTACCATTGTGTAGCAGGAATGTTCAAAGAATATTAACTGAAGAGACTTGTGAGTATCAGAATGCTGATTTCTATTTTCAGAATTGAACCGAGTTGGGAAATGGGCTGAAGAAGGCATCCACTGTGACCTATGCCAACATTGATAACAAAAGACGCACAAGAAAATGTCATACCCGCTATATTTGTTGTCGTGTTGCCATGGCGACAGTGATGGTCATTTACTCAACTCAACATTGTCACGTGATCACCTGATTTTTACTGATGACATCACCAATGTGTTTTGCATCATATCATCAACTTTGAGTTTACTGGGAGTTTTTTTATCTGCTGTTGCCTCGAGGTAACCTTGACCTTACCACACCTTTGACCCACACAAGACTTTTGACGGGTCCATCTCTCAAGTCAACAGTTTTGTCACTGTTTGCTGCGGATTGTTTGGCTGCAACTGGTAAGACACACATGTAAAGCCTTGTTCAATCTAACTGAGATCAGAACTTTTATTGTGATTCAGTACCTTTTTGTTTAAAGGAGTGAGTGAGTGAGTGAGTGAGTGAGTATGGTTTTACACCGCTTTAAGCAATATTCAAGCAATATCACGGCGGGGGACACCAGAAATGGGCTTCACACATTGTACCCATGTAGGGAATTGAACCCGGGTCTCAGTGTGACGAGCGTGTTTAAAGGATACTCCATGGGAGCAGTGTGCAAAATACCCACTGGCCTGCTACCCCGTGGCTAGTAAAAATCAAGTCAGGACAGTAAATCTCCACAATCACTGGCCCGACTGGCTAGTGAATTTTCATCAGGTCATTTTGTAAATAAATACTCTCTCCGACTTTGTGGAACACGTGCCTGTGTCATTTTGTTAATTTATAACACACTTTTAAATCATGCATGAATGAATGAATGAATGAATGAATGAATGAATGAATGTTTATTTAGACTAAAGGTCAATCACTTGTACATTCAATAATGATTTAACGTGCACATATGTATAACATTTCTCCCCGCCCCTCCCTCCCCATGGTGTCAGACCCGTAAGATGCATAAAGATTCAAACAAATTAAATTCAGCTGTTGCTTTCTCCTTAAGTAGGATTATGGTCTGATGAAATTGTTCATCATATTAGCAGCTTAATGATGAAACCCGTGTCATGCCGACAATATCTTATTCTCATTTATTTTGGTAATCTGTTCCTTAGTTTCTACATTCAAATGTTGGGCGAGTGAATTATTTTGTGGGCTAATAACTTTCAGGCATAACTAGTCCAACTGGCTAGCAAAATTTGGAAATTATTTTGCACACTGCATGGGAGGTAACACACCTCATAGACCTTTAAAATCATTAATGCAGCAGTTACTAGTAGTAATACTCACTCACCATAGGAGGTTGTGTAAGATTAATATTCTCATCAGCCTTGATTTAACTTATAAATTGTTGGTATGAGTGGGTGACACATTCAGACAAGCATATCTGATTTCTGGACCTGAACAAAATCAGTTCCATATGTGATTAAAAAGGTCAGGCTATAATAGTGTTCACAGTGAAAACATGTTAAGGACATATCGTGAAGGAATATTTTGAGCATGTCAAGCTGACTTCTTTGTGACTCATATTGTTTGCCTTCAGAAATTGTATATGGATTTGAACTGTAAATCTAGTGAAAATGAATTAGGATTTATTTTCAAACTTGAGACTTTGGAACTGCTATCAAATAATTTTAATAGTTATGACATCAGAACTTTTATTCATCAATTGTAAATCTAGTGAAAGTTGAATGTCCATAACTTTTAAAGGCACTATATCACACCGCACTTCTCTAAAAATAAATAATGCATTTCTCTCAATAATACTATCAGCTCTCAGGGAAGCTACCATATAATTTACAACAATTACATATTTAGATTACAGTACTAAATTAAAAATTTCAAATGAATTAATGCAACGTTGCATTAAATTGACTCTCGCGCCCTCTACCGGCCAAAGATTCTTTCAAGCGAAACCCTATAGAGTTATGTCCCTTGAAGTGCTCTTTACGAATGTCATACACACAACTTGTTATTGAAACCAGTTCGGCAAACACCGACAACACTGTGTACAACAGTTTTCGATGTACGGTGCAATTGTTTACATTCCATATATGGCAAGTCTTCTCTGTTTGGAAGCTGTTTGCCTCAAAGTTTCAGTTATCAATTTCAGGCAAGTCGTAAGGAAAAATAAGTCTTTTATTGAATCAATAGGAAGCTAAAGTGAGTGCATATGACCCAAAATATATAATATAGGCCAAAATATTGTCGAAAATGTGTGACATTGTGCCTTTAAGGAATAAAGATTTATTTTCCAACTTCAGATTTTGAAACTGCCCGATGTTGTTATATTAATGTGATATTGCAGGGATCCTGATCCGATCGTGTGTGTGGCTGGGTGGGTACCCAGTACCGGCTGCCTACTCTAAAGGAACTTTGGAGACAAACTCCTACGGATTCTGTATTGCAATAAATGTGAGTGAACAATGTTGGAATGGAATACATTGCATAGAATTGTCCCAGACTAAACAGGGGAAACGTGTGTCACGTCTGGGCTTACCATATGTATGGAATCAGCCCAGACTCCCAACCTCCCGGTCTGAACACACCAAACATGGGTGTCTGGTCTTACTGTAGCTTACATCTTCCTTCAGGATATTGCACCGATGTATGTCAGTCGCAGCCATGGCTACAATCAATGAGTATGGTCTTCACCCTATTGTCTTCATTTCTTTACAGAGACTCCATTGTGATTCAGTTCTCAAAAGTGTATAATTGTGGGAAAGGAATCTGCTTATAAATATATATAGAGATAATTAGATAAAACTAGTAATGTTTATGCCTTTAGTTCAGTCTTTATATGAGAGGTTCACAACTTATCAATCACTCCTCATTCTGCAAAAAATGTACATTTGGTACACTTTTGTGTCCAAGTTTATACACTCTGAATACATACTATTCCGTACATTGTGTCTCATGCACCAGTGGAGGTCCGGGTTAGAATATTGATCTTCAGTAACCCATGCCTGTCGTAAGAGGCGACTAACGGGATTGGGTGGTCAGACTCGCTGACTTGGTTGACTGCTAACTCTTTGTCCTGCTTCACAGGTCTTGATCCAGTACTTCTATTTGTGCACATACTTCTGGAATCTCAACTTTGCACTGGAGCTCTTCACATCACTTAAAAACTGGCCAAAGTGAGTTTCTCTTTTGTCATCATTTAAAGGAAAAGTCACAGATAGATTTCTGTTTTGAATCATGGTTTTAGATCAAGTATGACAGTTGTGTTAGGCATAACATTTAGATTGGAGTGTGTGTAAACTGTTATGTATTTTGGCTGTTGAATATTCATGGTCAATCAGGTGCTGTTCAAAATTAAGTAAAATATAAAATAGTCTCAAATCTATGTCTGCTTCTGATAACTGGTACTCCTGCACCAAATTATGTCAGTGGTGTCAAAATACTGTTATACCTGTTGACTGATGTGGGCAGACAGGTGTTGAATAGTGCTATGGACACTGTCACCAGGTCTGCCTGGTCAAGGAACATGCTGGGCTGGGTGCTTCCTGGGGTTCTGTGTATCATAGGAGCAGTGGTGGCCTTCTACCCTTCACTAGACAGGTGAGAGCTTCCCTCCCTTCACTAGACAGGTGAGAGCTTCCCTCCCCCTCCACCAGACAGGTGAGAGCTTCCCTCCCTTCACTAGACAGGTGAGAGCTTCCCTCCCTTCACTAGACAGGTGAGAGCTTCCCTCCCTTCACTAGACAGGTGAGAGCTTACCTCCTTCACTAGACAGGTGAGAGCTTACCTCCTTCACTAGACAGGTGAGAGCTTACCTCCTTCACTAGACAGGTGAGAGCTTCCCTCCTTCACTAGACCTCCTTTCACTAGACAGGTGAGAGCTTACCTCCTTCACTAGACAGGTGAGAGCTTCCCTCCTTCACTAGACAGGTGAGAGCTTCCCTCCCTCCACTAGACAGGTGAGAGCTTCCCTCCCTTCACTAGACAGGTGAGAGCTACCTCCCTTCACTAGACAGGTGAGAGCTTCCCTCCCTTCACTAGACAGGTGAGAGCTTCCCTCCCCTCACTAGACAGAGAGCTTACCTCCTTCACTAGACAGAGCTTTCCTCCTTCACTAGACAGGTGAGAGCTTTCCTCCTTCACTAGACAGGTGAGAGACAGGTGAGAGCTTCCCTCTCTTCACTAGACAGGTGAGAGCTTCCTCCTTCACTAGACAGGTGAGAGCTTCACTCTCCCTTCACTAGACAGGTGAGAGCTTCCCTCCCTTCACTAGACAGGTGAGAGCTTCCCTCCTTCACTAGACAGGTGAGAGCTTCCCTCCCTCCACTAGACAGGTGAGAGCTTCCCTCCCTCCACTAAACAGGTGAGAGCTTCCCTCCCTTCACTAGACAGGTGAGAGCATACCTCCCTTCACTAGACAGGTGAGAGCATACCTCCTTCACTAGACAGGTGAGAGCTTCACTAGACAGGTGAGAGCTTCCCTCCTTCACTAGACAGGTGAGAGCTTACCTCTTTCACTAGACAGGTGAGAGCTTCCCTCCCTCCACTAGACAGGCGAGAGCTTCCCTCCCTCCACTAAACAGGTGAGAGCTTCCCTCCCTTCACTAGACAGGTGAGAGCATACCTCCCTTCACTAGACAGGTGAGAGCTTACCTCCTTCACTAGACAGGTGAGAGCATACCTCCTTCACTAGCCAGGTGAGAGCTTCCCTCCCTCCACTAGACAGGTGAGAGCTTTCTTCTCTTCACTAGACAAGTGAGAACATTCCTCTCTTCAATGGACAGGTGAGAGCTTTCCTCTCTTCAATGGACAGGTGAGAGCTTTCCTCTCTTCACTAGACCGGTGAGAGCTTTCCTCTCTTCACTACACAGGCGAGAACATTCCTCTCTTCACTAGACATCATGACTTCACTATTATCATGACAAACTCAAAGGGACTACATGTACTTATTTTACTTCAATATAACTGTAGTTATACCCATTTCAACTAAAATGTCATCTTCAGCATGTTCAATATAAATATAGTATACAGTATATAAAACCTACTGATGATATATTACTGTTTTAAGTGTTCAGGTATGTGAATATTATTATCGATGTGTATGAATGTGACCAACTGTATGATGCTGACAATATGGTATTGTCTTCAGATGCTACGGGACGAGGAACCTGGAATGGACAATCCTCTTCCTCTGCTTCTTTGTTCCAGTGTTGGTTGTGCTCTTCCTCAACCCCATCATCTTCCTCTATGCCACGAGAACCAGTAGGTATCTGGGAGGGTCTGACCTTTCTAATATCATCCTAGCCATCGATACACCATCCTCCCCTTGCCACGAGTCCATGCAGTGTTCGAAATAATCACCGGCCCAGAGGCCCAGCACCGGTTGTTATTGTATCGGGCTGGCAGTTTCAAATATTTGCAGGCCTTTGTGGCCTTTAGTAGATTATCTGTCATTATTTTATCTGTCATATATTTTTTTTTATCAACTGGAATCTTTCCCATAATTACTTTCTTTATTCACCCTCGGGAATCATCCATGATCCATCATGTTACGATAACTTTTCTCATACAGTTTTACTTCCTGATATTTCAGGTTCAAGCACATAGGAATGTCAACTTTCTGGTGTTCCGTCTTTAACAAAGCGGCATAAAACCATGTGCCACTCTCTCTGTGCCATAGGTTTAATTGATTTTGTAGAAACGGTATGAAATTGTGTACAGTGTAGTCTATTTTGTTTTTATTGGTTTGACTTACAAAATGAATCTGCAGATTTTATTCAGGGCCCGTAGATTTTAAAGCCTGCAGGCGGCAGCAGACCCTGATGGCCAAATGGCAAATTTAAGTATTGCAAACACTTTGTCCATGCCTCTTTATCTGTCCACACTGTGTCCATGCCTCTTTATCTGTCCATAGTTGTCATTAACTACATATATGTTTAGATCTATACAGTCAGTCTGGCATTCTAACTGCCTGTGTAGGGATGACCACGAATAGGATGTGCCCTTGTCAAAAACGCCCTTAGGTTTGCTGGAACTTTATTCACCACCATAATATTCTGTTCATTGTGTATTTGTTTAATGTGGATATATATTTGTGTAACCATCTAAAAACATTTGGACTGTCTTCATCCTCGTCATCGTATAATTCTGCTAGTCCCCTGTTTAGATGTGTACATGTTGACAGATGTATATCTGTCTGTACAGAGACAGCTGATCATCGTCAGCTCATTATAACATTGATGAATGTTTGTCAGTTTCAAAACAGATGTTCATAAATTAATTGGATATAATATTGATGCATGTATGTCTGTCAGTTCGGAAACAGCTCAGAAACAGCTGATGATCGTCAGCTCATTATAGCATTGATGATGTTTGTCTGTCAGTTCGGAAACAGCTGATCTTCAACTCGGGGAAGTACACCCACTCGGAGCGAGACCTGGTTGAGGCAGTACAGCTCAAGCTTGCTCTCATCTTCATGGTGTTCATATTTTGGTGAGTTGCTGTCTTAAGGACTCGTGAAGATCCCGGGTTAGACTTGGTCTTCAGCAAACAATGCTTGTCGTAAGAGGCAATTAACAGGATCCCGTGGTCAGACTCACTGACTTTGTTGACATCAATGTATCCCAATTGCGTAGATCAATACTCATGATGACGTACGTTTACTGGAATATATATTATATTCCACCGCCATACAGAATACTGCTGAGTGGTGCCTTAAACAAAGAAAGAAACATACTCTAAGCCAGCTGTAGCAATCAGCTGTGCACACATATTCTTCCCAAGCTGCTGGTATGTCATGGCCTATTCATCATAAATATCACTGTACCATGTGCATGTTTACCTCAGGTTAGGTACCCAAAGTTGTTCAAGAGGTTCTCAGATGTTCAAAATGGCCGCTGTGGCAGCCATATTGAAAAATCAAATTAGGCTTGATACAGGATTTACTGAATGATCCTCTTACTTACAGTAAACAAAGGTGACATTTTTTACAGCTGGACACCCAATATCATAGCTGCTGTACTGGAAAGTATTCCTGGAGAAGACGCCTCTTTCTTTGATGTTCTTCAGATTCTTTGGATAGTCATGGTAAGTCGCTGGAAGAGGTATGAATTATTTGGGTTTTAATACGCCTTTTGGATTATCTAGTGTAAAAACGTATCTGGTAATCAAATGAAATTAATACATTATACTAATTTAGATGATTTTGATGTAGATACAAATATAAACCCTAGGGGTAAAAATACATAAATTTTAGGCAAGTAAAAATTTCGACCTTTAATTGACTTAAATCATCTACATTTTAGGGGTAAATTATCGTGTTTACAGGCTTGTATAAACCTGAAATCGTGACAATTGTTGTGGAAAATGAAAGCTATATGTTCTCACAATCTACTGTCATTTAATTTTCTCTTCTGCTTTGCCTAGTTTCGAGGGGAGTTACAACTTGTTTTCATAGGCGCTTCTGTCACAATTGATTGGTGTCGTTAGGCCCTATTTGTATAATGACTGATCCAAATTGATCCCATTTCTGTGTTTTTACCTCGATATTTAATCATGTCATGTAAAAATCTGTTTGTATTCTCAAAACAGTGTCGGCCCATAAGTTTTCACATGCAATACAGCAATTAATACTCCCTTGTTGTAACCGTGTTAGGTGGTATAAACCTACACATGTTATTTGTCATCATTCACTTGATGGTCAGTTAATGAATTTATAACAGGTATAATTAGTGGTAACACACTTAGATTACCCGACAAAGGTTCCCATTTGGCATTTCTTGTGTCTGGAGTAAATATTCAACATTTATGAACATCGATCAAAGGATTAACCGATAACACGCTGATTGATTAATTACTTTTATCTTACACAGCGGAATTGTCAAAAGGTAGTGTTTATGTATGTAGATTTTACTAATCTATACTGAATACACTCTGCATTAATACGGTGTCTGTGTAAAAACAACGTCCTTCTTTCAAAGGATTAACCGGCAATACATTGATTGATTGCCCATTATTGGCTAACTAAATTACTGTTTTAATGAAAGGCGGACATTATGCAATTAGTTGCCAGGTGTGCTATCTTGGGTGACCAATGAGACTATACACCAATACCTGAAAAGATTTATCACTTTTTTCGTATATTAAACTGTTAAAAGACACATCATTTGGAACAGTTTTGTGGATATTGATGGATACATTCCTCAAACAAGGTAATGGCCTGATATTGTTCCTATAACTCCTTTAATCTGTTTTAATTTTAATATTTGCATTTTGTTTTTAATCATTTTGTCGAAAGCATTCAACAGAATCATTGTTTTCGGCCGTGAAGTGTAATGAGACAGACAACATACACTAGGGTGTGTGAGCGAATTATGATTCACATTGACAAACTATAAAATGTCTAGATATTACAGTTCTGTTATAAATTCACTATAAGTATCAGCAGATCGTCAGCTTTTTATTTAGTTTCAAAAATGCATAAAAGTATGATAATAAACTAATTAGGATTATAAGACCAAATATAAAGACATTAACATCGACTAGTATCTACATACTGGTGAGTGGACATTAACCATGTGAATGTAACAAGAAATTTATCGCTATGCAGTATTGTGACTTCCCCTCGACCCCACCTCGGGCTTCGTGGAAGAAATCGCTATGTTATAAGTTGTGTCATGCAAAACCCTTTGGTTATGATTCCAATACATATTTACTTCGAGTAGAAAGTAGTTTTGATTTTCTAACTTGATGAAAACAAACTATAATCTCATTAATTCTAACAGACTTTACGGATTTTCAAAATGATGGCTATCTGTCGGGAAACATCCGCCAGTCTGTGGATAAATGCTATTTAGGTTTGTTTTCACCGGAGTTACAAAAATCAAAACTACTTTCTACTGGTAGTAAAATATGTATTTTATTGATGGCTAATAGGATTTTGCATGACATAGCCGTGAAAACATAACAATTTCTCTCCTGGCAGCAGCCAGGTGGTGTCAATATAATATACTACTTTACAATATTATTGTTACTTGACCACAACCTCACTTTCGAGGAAGAAATCGTTATGTTACAAGTTGTGTTATGGAAAATCTTTTATGGTCATCAATCATATACATATTTTACTATAACTAGTAAGTAGTTTTGATTCTTTAACTTCCGTGAAGCGATCTGAACACAAGTAAGATATCGCTTTCAGGCTTCCACAACGCTAAACCGACTCACAAACATAACCCATTTAGAAGCACCTAACTCGCGGGTCCTGTGGAAATCTGTGCATGGTGACACCATCGCCTCGACCCAGAGCAATTGACGACAAAGCAACGATTCGCATGTCGTCGTTCATGTCGAAATCGTGCTACACTTTTCTATACAACTAACTGAAAATCGCGTTCCTCATATGAGCGTCACTGCAGTGCTCTGGCGACAGAGTTATTAACCTGTCTGTGGTTTCAAGTTGGCGTGAGAGGGAAGCAGGCGACTTTTTGGCCACTTTTAATCAGCTCGGTATTAATTAACCACAAGTTTTAAAGAATAAATTTGGTGTTCCGATAAGACTAACCACAAATCTTTCATATGTAATGGTTAAAAGAGTAACAAAAAACAAAGTTTAGTGGTTCATTAAGCATGGTCATACTCATTTAGATAAAGAAGTTGTATATCCACGGAGCTATCTACCTTATTCATCATACTTACTTCAAAATGCCTTTTGAAAATATCATGAAAATTAGCATGGTCATACTCACTGGAATAAAGAAGTTGTGTTTCCTGGAATTATCTCCCTTGAAGAAAAGGACATTTTTTATGGATAGACAACTTGTTATTGCAATAGATGCAACATTTCGGTGTAGATCCTAACACTGTTATCAAGCAAATTGTCTATCCATAAAAAGCGTTCCTCTTCATCATCCCTGCTTCTAAATGCCACTTAAAGACATTATCTCCCTTGTTCATCACACAACAACTTCCAAAAGACATTTAATGACAACATGAAAATTTCAATTAAACACAGTCTGTGAATAATCCTTATAACCCCTCCATGTTGCAGGCTATCTGTAATCCATGCCAAGCTCTACTGAACTGTCTGGCGTACTATGGATGGCCCGGGTGGAAGGCATCGTGTGAGGCTATCACAGACTTCCTGTGTCACAAAAACAACACAGCTGCAGGGGAGAGAAGTGCTCTGTTCCTCTCAACATCGGACGGACAGAAAGGGGAGGCCACTCCCATTCTTACATTCCGAGGTCGGAGCGGAAGTGTCTTCTACACAGACAACTAACTGCAGTGAATTCCAGCAGAGACCATATATAATAGAGAGCTTCCCTCCCTCAATTATATGGTCTCTGATTCTAGGTTCCCAGTGTCTCAGCTCATCTAGATTGAAGGCCTAAGATATCATGTTTATTTAACCAGTCTGCAAGCCATTTTCATAGCACTTCCATATTTGTAAACCTTTGGTAGCTAGAACGTAGTGATATTTTATCGCACTAAAATCTTTGGTCTGTCTCCCCACATGGGTACAATATAGCCTATTGTCTGGTGTCCGTCACTAAGACTGACTGACTGAGTTTGGTTTTACGCCGCTTTTAGCAATATTCCAGCAATATCACGGCGGGGGACACCAGAAATGGGCTTAACACATTGTGCCCATGTGGGGAATCGAACCCGGGTCTTCGACACAAGGCTACCCCACCACCCACCGCCACTATGATATGGATATAGCAGCCTAGTGGTAAATGCAAATGAAGGCCCAGGTTCAATTTTGTGAAGCCCATTCCTGGTGTCTCCATTGCTGGAATATTGCTAAAAGTGGCATACCTTACTCTTCCACTCACTCACCCTAGCATTATGGTGACTTAAACATTGTTATTTGGTGAAACTATGAAGAACTCTGCTCAGCAAGTAATTGCAGTTACTTACAAAATAATTTCCACCCCATAATATGGCAACCCAGGCCAAGGTAGTGAGAGAATGAGTTTTTCGCAATATTCTACCAATATCACAGTAACACAAGAAATGGCCTCACATTATATACCAATGTGGGGAATTGGACCAGGCCTTCAATGTGACAAGTGAGCACTTTAACCCCTTGGCTACTCCACAATCTCTGTTAGGTGAGTGAGTTTAGTTTTACGCTGCACTCAGCAATATTCCAGCTATATGGCGGTGGTCTGTAAATAATCGAGTCTGGACCAGACAATCCAGTGATCAACAGCATGAACATCGATCTATACAATTTGGATACTATATGACATGTGTCAACCAAGTAAGGGAGCCTGACCATGCGATCCCGTTAGTCGCCTCTTACGACAAGATGGGTTACTGAAGATCGATTCTAACCCAGATCTTCAAGGATCAAGTAAGAAAGTACCGGGACTGTGTAGTCATGTCATTTTATAGAACCCATCTTATAGTCAGGAATAGACAGTGCCATTTAGAAAGTGGTCAAATGTAAACATATGTTATATTTGTAAAGCACAGATTCTCGTACGTTTTGGGTTGAGTCCCATCCGGGATTCAAACCCACACCCTCAGAGTCAGGCACCTAACCAGATTTTTTGTGGAAGCCACGGTGGTCCATGAAATTGTTTGATAATATTGACACGATGACCCTGTTTATTTTCAAGTAACACATTTTGTGTTTTGTGTGTAATTAGTTAGAATTACTATAGTAGATCTATAGATAGATTGATTTATTTCAGTAGTTCTGCATGGCCTAAGGTGCATTGAAGTAACCATTAACAAGAGGCCGGTGTAGTCCAAGGCGCCAGGCTAGTGATCCAGCGAGCATGAGGTGCCGGGATTGAGCCCACCTGTGACCAGATGTAAAAACCTTGGAGTCAACTTTGTGTGCAGACTCTTTCAGTGTTGTCACAACCCCTAGTGTACAGTACACAACCCTGTGCACTTAAAAGAACCTACGAATCCATTGGTAAATGACCACATGGTGGCCACATGAACACGTGCAAACACTTAGTTGTGGGTACAGCAACGTGCAGTAAACTTGGACAAAGTACTGTGACTATGTGTCCCAGTCCACCCAGCTGTGAATGGGTACCTCAAAAGGATGGGAAAGTCACATTAACTCGGTGCACCTAGTGGCTGCAAGAGTTGTATGATCCCCAGGGAGTTGAGATTGGCAATATGATGTGCCGCTGAGACTGACATCCAATGATCAAGGGAAAAACAAAGAAGCGCTTTGAGCATGCTTGTGGGATGGACTATACCGCTATATAAATACCCATATAATTAAGATGCTCTACAGTTACGTCATTTTTAGCAATATTCCAGCAATATCACAGCGGGGAACACCAGAAATGGGCTTCACATATTGTACCCATCATGGCCATGTGGGGAATCAAACCCGGGTCTTCGGCGTGAAGAGCGAACGCTTTAACCACTAGATTACCCCACCGCCCTAAGGTACTCTACAATATCAGAGGTTTAACACATTGTGTATATACACTGTAAAGTTAATGTAACAAGTGACATATCACCATTGTTGAATAACTCATCTTGTATATTTATGTCGAAGACACCATATTTTTTACAAATAATGTAAACGTGATACTCATTTTCAATATGACCATCTTGGCATTTATCTCGATTTTATTATTTGGCTGTCTAATAGATTTGTGCTGGTTGTCAGAGAAACATGTAATGTACATCTTTGGCTCTCATAGAGATGCAGTACTGGATGAATGAGACACATCTTAACGCTGAAATTTGCTTGTACCATGTCTGTCTGCCTTGCAAAAGAAGACAAGTACACATGTACTAGGCCTGGGGCGGGTAACCCGGATACCTGGGACGGCTAGGCAATGAGTTGGACCCGGACCCATTATGATCATGTGACTAATAGATTAAACAATGTATTATGTTATTCTTTCGTGATTTACAGGTTGTATTGTCTTTGAAGATTTAGACATAATTTACAGTCACTTCTTTTGAATACAATTAATGGTTAAAATATTGAAAAGGTCGAAATTTTAGCCTCCGATCTAAAGAATATATTGCCATTTCTTGCAAATCTGATGTCAGGAATTAACACAACGGATATCCGGATTGTTTAGGGTAATAGGGCTGGGGTACCTGGGTAGAAAATTTGGACTCAACCCAGCTCTAACCTGTACACACATGATTGTCGTAATAGGCAACTAATGGGATAATATGGTCATGCCTGCTGACTTAGTTTCCACATGTTACCAATTGTGTACATAGATGTTCATGCTGTCAATCACTTGATTGTCTGGTCCAGACTGGATTATTTACAGTTGGATGTGACAATAAACAAAACACAAACAAATTTTAAAACAAAATCTAGATAAACAAATAACACAGGTACATGTGTATGAAAAGCAACAAACAAATATCTAACTTTTGATGAATAGTTCAACTTACCTTTTCCACTTAAATATTTCATTAAAGTTAACAAATAACCTAATACAGGTCTCACTGATTAGAAAGATGGTTTGGTGCTGGAATGTTCCTCATCCTAATTCATTACTTAATATATATAGTATAGTAATATTAACGCTGAAGGGGCCGTTGTCGGCACAGGTACTATAGATACGTACCCCAGGTACCTTTCTGCATACAGATATGTACCCTAAACAAAGTCAAAATACAGAAATGTACCTGGCACCCTAAAAGGCAGACGAGTCCATATTCCGCAATCCAAAAGTGAAACCGTATGTAGTTGTTCCCGTTCAACTGATTCCGAGTGGTATTCATGTGCATCGCGAAATATCCGTTACTGTGTATTCTCATTACTTACATAACACAATCAAATGTATCTAATACAACAGTATGACAGTTCCGTCAAGAAAAGCGAATGGGAATGGAATCGTCCTAGAGTACGTTTCTGTATTCTCATTATGGCCAAGGTACACAGAAACGTACCTGGGGTACATATCTGTAGTACCCGTGCCGACGACTCCTTCAGCAATATTAACTATAACCATCCATCTAAAGGGGGAGTAAACAAATCTAGTCTCAGTTATTGATCTCAAGTTAAGCAGAACTGTCCATTTCAAAGGGTTGTACTCAAACCTGATCTCAAAGGGTAAACTCAAACTGAACAGTGCAATCCATTTGGATTAGGTAACAGTCTGATTCAGCCATTTGCATTTGTGAAATCCTGTTACTCCAGATGGAGTTGTTCCCAGTGCAGTCATATGAAGTAATCACACAGTAAGGGACCGTTCATAATTTATGGCTAGGGGGTGATCATGATTTTAGAGGCGGGTGGGTGGGGTGTCACCCATTTTGTTCTGGGGAGCTAGGGGGTCAGCAATTTTGTACATAAAAATATGTTTAAAATTATGCTGAGAAATTATGGGATGGGGGTCATTGATTTTGTATATGACATGACGGGTGGGTGGGTGGGTCACCTATTTTGTTCACATATTTTAGGGGGATGTCATTCACATTGTACTTGCTTCTCCATAAAAATCATCATCACACACACACCCCAGCCATAAATTATGAACAGTCCCTAATTGCTCCTGTAATTATACGTCACTAATCATCCAGAAGACAATTAAGGTTACCAAGTAACAAGATCCAGATGTAAGATCTATATCACATTAAACCAGTGATGTATCCTCTTCAAAAGACATATTTATTTTGGTTTATGCATATATCATGATTTATATGCTAACTGATATAGCTATTAATATGCTTATTTATGAGTGTGGCATTAAGATTGACATTAGATACTTTTTGTTATGTTTTGAAGTGCTTTGCCAAAGGAATATATTTATCCCAGTTTCGTCAGTACGAACATATTTTTCTGCTTACTGTTCATGGGAATACATTTTATAAATATATAAAGACCCAAAAAATTATGTTGAATAATATTTTTTGTTATATATCTAGTCAAGATCGTCTTGTATTTGATACTGTGAGTTTATAAAACTATTAATGTGACATCTGAGTTTGTCTTTATTTTTATCCCAATTAGTGCCAAATTATACTACATCTGTTTCATTTGTTTTAATGTCATCTGAGCATTTTATCCTTAGGCCAGACCAACTTTGTTTTTTGTTTTACAGAACCACCAGTTGTATTTTTTCAAGAATAAGAAAAAAATCAATGCACAGTAATTCTAATGTTTTTTTATGTAAACTTAAATGCATTTCTTTCCTAAATTATTTTTTTGCCCCATAAAGACTTCATAAATTGCCAAAAGTAAAATACTTTTAGTATTTAAAAGTAATATTACATTGGTGATTTTTTCCCCCTCTTGCCTTTATGTTTTCTGTGGACAAAAATCCGTAAAACAAGACATGAAATTGGTCTGGCCTTAGCAAACTTTATCTTTTCATTTCTAGAAATATGATTTCCTGCTGCTATTACTTTCTATGTGGAATAACCTTCTGACTCTACACAATTGCAAAATATCGGCTTCGAACTTCACTTCAGGGCAGTAAACTGTAGTTCAGTAGACTACTGTAGTACCTTGCCCTTCGCTTGCAAGAGGCTTCACAGACCGGATAGGAGCACAAGCGCTCTGGGACAGAGTCTAGGGGCACGATGCTGTATGGAGCTTAGTTCAATACGGCAAATACAAAAGATGAATCAAGTAAGTGAAAAACAATGTTGCTATTTATTCTAATATGTACTTATTAGACTACTGTATCATTTTTACTGCAAATAGGCCTAAACGTAAGGCCAATATTTACTTGCATATTTAAATCTTCAGTATTCCATTCGAAATGGAAAATGCATCTTTGTGTTTTACTCTCATTAATCTTCAAGATATTTCAGCTTTTGCACGCACCTTCATCAGCGAAAGGCTGTTCCGGAGTAGTAGACAGTTTTGTGTAACACTTCATTTCTTTTACTGGTAAGCCAATCTATGATGTTTTGTCAGATTTCAAATATTCTCCGTGATCAAGTTCACATTTGATTCTAATTTTACTTGTGTTTTGTTTCTCTCAGTGAAATATTCGTTGACTGTCGGCAGAGATCCGAATGATATCTCCTAGACTCTAGGGCTCTGCTCTCGGTAGTCCAACTAGAGGAGTTTGCACTACAGCAAGGTGTAGGCTTTGGCTGAAATACGAGTTTATTCATATGAACTATGCTCTCGGATTTTGATAATGTAACTAACTTGGATTATATCATACAACCATCGGAAGGATATAAACTATGGCTAGAGTGCACTTAACCAAAAAAAGAAAATGTGCTTAAAAATTACAATAAGCATCATCATTATCAGTTTACGACAAATTAAGACAATGCCAATTTTCATTCACCACATTGGAAGTTACAATTTTCATAAATATTGAACTTGACTGCTTGGCCTTTTTAAATTATGATACTGTGATTGAAATATAATACATGGGGGTAAGAGTTCCGCCCGTAACCCCCGCTTGAAATGTATTCTGTTTATGATTATTATTTCAATCAAGGGTTTAGGTTTAGATTTAGCATTATGTTAGGGTTAGGGTTACGGTAGTCTTTCTATAAAAAATATCTATTCTTACTATAAATCTTAGGCATAGAATGATAAAAATATTGGTGGATATCTTTCCGTAAGCTACAGGCATGATGGTCCAAGGTTTTATATTATTCACACTGTTAGATAGCTGCCACCTAGTATCAGTGGTGAAATATAAACATGGTGATGACAAGTATGAAACAGTTGACTTCAAGCTCAAATTTCATACCCAAAAGTAAAATAAACCAACATTTAAACTTTATTATATTTTACAATTAATGGAAAATGGCAAAATACCCAGCTGAGTTTGAGTGAGGTAGGTACAATTTATGAGGTTACTCAAAGGAAATTATCCAGTACATAACTCAGTCACTCCAAAAATTATCTGTAGCTCTACATGGAAACAGATCATTTGTACGATTAGTATGAATAGTTACTGGTATTTTATATACAAATCAATATGAGCTTCAATATTTTGCATGATTAAAGATATTGCACATGTCGCATAATCTGTTACATATTAATGTCATGTATGATTATCTTTCCAGGCTACGTTTCTGTCGCTGAATCACCTGGTGGAAGATGGCTAGATCATTTCCTAAAACGGTTAACCATGTGTCAATAGTGAAAAAAACTGTCTATGTACATTCCCCACTTCACAGACGTCTTTGATGAGGAGTCGTTCTACATCTTTGCATTCCTGTTCACTGCTGCAACAATCATTGCTGCCGTAATTCTTGCACGAAAAACAACACTCAAAGACCATGGTCATGTGGACTAAGAATATGATTCGGCAGGAATGATACGGTGGTGATACGCTGTGTATGAACAGAGGTGATGCACTATGTATGAACAGAGGAGATAGCCTGTGTATGAACAGAGGTAATGTCCTCTGTATCACACTATTTTTATGAAAAGAAAACCCTTGTGCAATATGTTTCTATTGAGCACACCAACATGTTGAGTTAATATGAAGATGAAACTACATGTATTTCTCAGCCAACTTAACATTTTCAGTACAACATAATTTATTTTCTTTTGTCAGTAAGAAAATCTCTTATACCCTCTTATGTAAAGAAAGTGAACTATTAGTGTGAATTTACATTTTGCATCTGTTTTTATCATGTTTATCATCTATTATTTGAGGGATTTGATGAGGATGATATGTGAGATGAATGCATCTAATCCCGACTTTGTCATGTTATATTTATTTTTCTTGGTTGTGAGTATACCAGTACTACAAGCATGTTTATCTATATGTCCATCTCTTGTTTGATTGTTTTGCTCTGCAGTCATGTAATACTTACAGAGAAACCTTGAAAGCTGATGCTATTAGTATTATCTGGATATATTATTTTAAAGACAAAGTGGTCCAGGCAGAAGCTTCATTGAAACATTTTCTGAAAAAAAGCACTGTACTTGTAGTGACTCCCAGTCAAAATGAGTCGACAGTGATGTACCTAGCAGAGATGCCAACCCTTATAGTGTTATGGTAGATACTGAATTGATCCATTACTATTGCTTTAAGAAAATTTGAAAAAAGAAAACTGGTTATCAAAAATCATATTAATCATTAAAAAATGGATTACCTGGGTGAACAGAAAAAAATGACTTTATGCCATTGTGGGAATATATTTGTTCTCCTCAGTGGCCAGTAATTATCCTTAAGACTGCAGGAAGTTTTTCAGAAAATCCCAAATAGGAAATTATAGATTTTCCATTTATTATATTTATTTAGAACTTAAGTTTAGTCTTTGTAGACAGAGAAAGACACTTTAATGCTAGTTTAACATTGTTGCACTGTGTAAACACACAAAATGACACCATGTGCTGGAGTTGAATGTCATTGTTACAAAAAACCACAAAGGAAGACAAAACAATTTCATTGCAAATGTAGGGATTCTGTATGTTGTTGTGCTTTCTTGTGGATTGTGCCATTTGATAAGAGATTTATTAACCACACCAATGTAAGGTTGGCATCTCTGACCTAGCCGATAAATAACAATACTCTACTGACGACTTACTAGTGGGCCGGTGGGGTAGCCTAGTGGTTAAAGTGTTCGCTCTTCACGCCGAAGACTCGGGTTCGATTCCCCACATGGGTACAATGTGTGAAGCCCATTTCTGGTGTTCCCCGCCATGATATTGCTGGAATATTGCTACAAACGGCGTAAAACTGAACTCACTTACTAGTGCAGGAGCGATTGATCCCGTTATTGCCCACATGAATTTTGTGGTGGTGTTTACAGCTACAATTGATTATTAATCAATAACTGAGCTCCAATTATCAATCTGCATATTGTGGGTGATAACCATCACTAATACTGACTGATATACTTTATATATATTACTTTGTACCAATAATAGTTATCAACATTGTATGTGACAAGCTTTCAACTGGTCGGTGATCCAGTATGTATTTCAATACTTGTAAAAAGGCTACTTACCCTCAAATCATACTTGGTGAGCAACAGGTAGAACCACTATACTGTAGGGTTGCCAGGAGCGCTTAATCTGATCACTGACTTGTTGGTTTTTGATGTCCTCTAAGACCATGAGTAGCCTAGTGGTTAAAGCGTTCGCTCATCACGCCGAAGACCCAGGTTCAATTCCCTACATGGGTACAATGTGTAAAGCCCATTTCTGGTGTTCCCTGCAGTGATATTGCCGGAATATTGCTAAAAGTGGCGTACAACCAAACTTACTCACTCCAAGACCATGATGATCTTGTGTCTGCTAGCATTTTATGTTTCCATCCTTGTGTTTCAACCTGTGAATATTTCATGTTAGTTTCCAATGTAGCTTGGCTGTTCAGTGCAATATTGAGAAACGGGTTGTGTTTTTGTGCAATACACTGGTGATCGCATTGTTTACCAAGTCTCACTGTATTATATATTGTACTTTATGTTTATATCCAATTGATATTTATTTTCCTCTTTACCCAATGCAGTGTTGTGTTGATCTCATACATTTACACTTATTTATATCTCGGTTTGTTTGTATTTTGAATTTTTCTGCTTATCCTAGTCTCACAAGGACTAAAATGCAAAAGGAAGATTTTTTTGTCCCTGCTTTAATAGTTGTTGTGAAATTTGGTAAAGGGCCTGAACCTAATTCCCCAATCCTCTTAAAAAGAATTTGGATCTGAAAATTGAAAATATAATACATCTTACACATACAGGAGAGTCATCCAGGACATACAGGTCATATTACTATTAGCATTATTATTGATTTGTCTTTTTTTAGATGAACAATACCAATCATATTCAGTATTTTTGCTGAAGTCGGTCAATTCATGATTGCACTTTGTCAGAGTTAAAGAACAATAAAAATCATAATAACGTCTAAAAGGAATGTTTGGAAAGAGCAGTGTAGGGTTTGTTGTTTCTGTTTATGGTTAATCCTGTTAATCCAGATAGTAGTGTCCACAATCCAAAGGTCAGAACTACCAGTAATATTTTCTCACCTGAACTATCATTTTACCCAGTTTGAACAGTGACGGAAAGAGTCCTGAAAACAAAGCATCCAGATTAATAGAGTCTGGGTTCTCCAGATTTCACTGTAGGTACAAATTTCAGTGTGCAATATGTATTTATTGAAGTTGCTCATTTGTGATCCCATCGATGCTGCTTCTTACTGTATAATGTTGGTGAAATAAACTGGTTGAATTTTGACATATCAAGACTTCTGTTTTAGTAGGTGTGACAATAAGTCCTGTTAACACAAGTAAGTCTCTGTCAAGTCCTTTTTCTTCTGTGTTATGTCTGTCAACAGTAGGGGCGGTGGGGTAGCCTAGTGGTTAAAGCGTTGGCTCGTCACGCCGAAGACCCGGGTTGGAATCCCCATATGGGTACAATATGTGAAGCCCATTTCTGGTGTCCCCCGCTGTGATGTTGCTGGAATATTGCTAAAAGCGGCGTAAAACCAAACTCAGTCAATCAGTCAGTCAACAGTATGGTTTTGATACACCCAGAGCTAGCCCTTCGTGGGATCCACCTAACAACTACTCCAGGAATTGTTTGTTGTAAGAAGACACTATATGAATCTTGGTGTTCCACAAATCCTAGTGGGGTAGCCTGGGGGTTAAAGCTTCTGCTCATCACAACGAAGAACTGGGTTCGATTCCCCACATGGGTGCACTGTGTGAAGCCCATTTCTGGTGTTCCCTGTCATGATATTGCTGGAATACTGCTAAAAGCAACATGAAAACCATGCTCGCTCCCTCCCTCACTCACTCACTCACTCACTCACTCACTCACTCACTCACTCACTCACTCACTCACTCACTCACTCACTCTAGTGCTATGATAGTAGACAGCATATGTTAAAGTATGGTAGATAGGATCACCATATTGGTAGAATCACCAGCCCCAGTGTACAGGATGGTAAATCAGTTGTCACATGGTGACCAGTGAGATGTTGCTCATGATATCAGTCACTGGTTTGTCTGTTCCAGACTCAGCTAACATTATGTTTACAGCTTGTCATGTTATACCTGCACTATTGCTGACTTCAGGGGTGTGTAATTAACAAACTAAAGGGAGAGAGCATGACTAATCTTCATTTATCAGATCATCTCCAATAATCTGGACTGACTCCATGCAGGTGGGCATTAGAATATGACCTGGACTGACTGGCTCGGAATACATGTACTGTGTCTTGACATGAGTGTCCTGGTCAAGCAGCGTATGTCATGAGGTTGACACTGTTTAAACCAGCTTCCAGAGTAAACTGGTCAGAAAGTTCCGTTAACGCCCATGCATCAGGAATATGTATGATTCAATGTAAAAGTAGTTCTGGTTGCACAAATGACACATTTTTTAAAGAGTCCCCTACCATCACATTTTTATGAAACACCATCTCTCTGTCCCCGACCACGGTACAATCATCCCCTGTCCCCTACCACGGTACACCATCTCCTCCCTGACCACGGTACACCATCTCCCTGTCCCCGACCACGGTACACCATCTCCCTGTCCCCGACCACGGTACATCATCTCCCTGTCCCCGACCACGGTACATCATCTCCCTGTCCCCGACCACGGTACATCATCTCCCTGTCCCCTACCACGGTACATCATCTCCCTGTCCCCGACCACGGTACATCATCTCCCTGTCCCCGACCACGGTACACCATCTCCCTGTCCCCCTGTACACCATCCCTGTCCCACCACGGTACATCATCCCCTGTCCCCGACCACGGTACACCATCTCCCCTGTCCCCGACCACGGTACACGGTACATCATCCCTGTCCCCCACCACGGTACACCATCTCCCTGTCCCCGACCACGGTACACCATCTCCCTGTCCCCTGACCACGGTACACCATCTCCCTGTCCCCGACCACGGTACACCATCTCCCTGTCCCCTGACCACGGTACATCCATCTCCCTGTCCCCGACCACGGTACACCATCTCCCTGTCCCCGACCACGGTACACCATCTCCCTGTCCCCTACCACGGTACACCATCTCCCTGTCCCCGACCACGGTACACCATCTCCCTGTCCCCGACCACGGTACACCATCTCCCTGTCCCCGACCACGGTACACCATCTCCCTGTCCCCTACCACGGTACACCACCACTGGTACATCATCTCCCTGTCCCCGACCACGGTACACCATCTCCCTGTCCCCGACCACGGTACCTACCACGGTCATCATCTCCCTGTCCCCCCCGACCACGGTACACCATCTCCCTGTCCCCGACCACGGTACACCATCTCCCTGTCCCCGACCACGGTACACCATCTCCCTGTCCCCTATACCACGGTACGCTTTCATCTCCCTGTCCCCGACCACGGACCACACCATCTCCCTGTCCCCTGACCACGGTACTGCTCATCGCGGCCCTGTCCCCTGTACCACGGTACATAACATCTCTTAAGCCTGTCCCCATTATACCATGTGTACAAAGATATAGGTCGCGTCTTACATGAATATCGTTTAGCGGTATCAGCACATTCGCACACCGGAGGCCGCGTGTATGTGGGCATGGTGAATATATTTGCATAACGAGATTATTGATGCAGTTTGTATAACATATACTTCATAAATATTCACAAAAACAAGCCACAGTCTTCTACTGCACACACGCACGCGTTCACTCTCACACACACTCTCACTCACTCACACACACACTCTCACACACACACACACACACACACACACACACACACACACACACACACACACACACACACACACATAGTGCAATCTGCTCGAAGCTTACACGTCTAAGTAGAACACAGTGAAAATCCCCCGAGATATCGCCAGTACATCAATGGGGAAAAAAGGAAAATAAATCGCAGTTGTTATAAACAAAATAATTATATAACCTTACATTTAATTAACGCTGTCTCCATATCGTCCGGTCAATTGGCACGTTTTTCAAATTCGGGACTTAGGACGAAAGACATTTATTAAGGAAATTATTCATGCATAGTGAAATGTCGAATACTATTTGATAAACATTTTGCAGTAAACAGCTCATTTGTGATTGACGCAGTCCGTGCAGGTTGGCAAGCAAGTGCATGTGTGAACTAGTGGTGGTCCGATTAATTGAAATAATCGAAGATTGGTCGCAGTGACTAAACGACCAAGCAATCGATCATGTTTTCTCATAATCGAACACAAGCAATTCTGGAACACTTGTTTGCATTAACAATATTTTTCACAAGGTTGGTTTTGTCTGTTTCATTTCATGACTACTGCATGCTCGTTCCAAGTCATGGTTGAATTTATCTTCAAGACTCCAAGAAATTAATGTTCCTAACCTACTAGTCATCCTTTAAAGATGTGAAATTTGCCAATGCCTTTTGTGCAATTTGCAAAAACACCAAAGAAGAACAGGTTTTTTTCTTTATTTTTTTGTCCATTAACAAAAATAATCAGGAAAATTCATAAATAACGCTAACCAATTATTTTCGATGATTGATCGGTTGTAATGAACCAATCATCAATTATGAGATTTTGACCAATTCCCAGCACTAGTGTGAACACAGTACTTTCCTCATCTGAATCAGTCATTCGCTAAAAAAAGGGCGCTTGGTTTTAATAGGGAGCAAATCATAGCATCAAATATGAATATATACACATGGAAAAAAGTATCGCAACACCTTTCATTTGTAACCCCCACATAGCATATACATGCATAATAATGTTTGCTTGTATGAACATATTTTACCCATACATTGACTTCAGATATGCACACACTACGATCAAAGGCGAGCATCGCATGCAAAAAGTATATACCAGTCAGTGAATTGTTCTTACAAAAAAAAGTGATTGGAAAAAAAACAAGCGACTTCGTTGTTAATAAACAAATATGGGACCACCTCAACTCCTCAAATGACAACTGCTCAAAGATGGTAAGTCGAAAGTTGTTGCAAGAGTTGATGGCTATCATCCATTGACTATCATCCGACTGGCCAGAGAACATCAGCAAAATATATAGCGTGAAGGCACGTTAGTGTTCAAGTCGACCTTTTTAAAAACAGAGTGGCTTTCACGTTGTCTTTTGTACAACAGAAAGGTCCGAAATCGCCTAAAGTCGGTCTGGTATATAGAGCCAGATGACATATCAGACGCCCGCTGTTATCCCAGAGCACAAAACACATTAGTTTGGCGTCACGGGAATTTAAGGTCACGAGGAAGGGTCAACTGGTCGGCGTAAGTCAATTTCTTTTGCTAGGCCCTTTGTACACGTGAATTGGTAATTTCTTACGTCAAGAGGCGGTAGGAGCTTTATCATGGCCGGCCATGAGTCCAGATCGCAGTCCCACAGAGCGTGTTTGGGACATAATGGATCTCAGAATGCGCCCCAGAGATTCTCCAGTACAAAATCCTGCATGAAGAATGAAACACCTCAACGTGAAATTCAACATCTGGTACAGTCAATGAGGTTCAGGGTCTGGAATATTATTGCTGTTGGCGGAGGTTACACCAGATGTTAACAATGTGCTCGCTCATGGATATACTGTGATTTCTTAAAATTGTATGCCAGAATGACCACACTTGTTATAGTCCGTTTGACTTCATTTGAGACCGATGAATTGCTCACTAACACAAAATCTAATAATCTCGCGTCGTGTATTGTCCTCTCCGACGTCCGCGCGCTTACATTGTAGCTGAACGTGGCCAGTTATCCAACATACTTGGGGAAAGTCTAGACTGCTTTGTGCATGTCGACCAGCTACCTAGATGTCAATCGCCGCATCGTGGGACGGGGACCTGAGGACCGAACTTGGGTGCTCAAGACTGTTTTTTGTGATGGTCTATCTTGTTCTGGTCTGTTTGTCCTGTTGGTCACTTGGGGTGTTAAGTGTTTATTGGCCCGATACTCTCCCTGTAAGTGGCAGTAGTTAGTTCCTTAGTATCCCCCACTCAATATATGCCCTGATCCCAGAGCTAGTCTATTAAGGCGAGTTTACTTAGCTAGCTACTTGTTGTTTTTAGCGGCTTGTTGTGATTGGGGTGCAAGTTCATTCATGCTTGAGCGGGTACTTAGCGTTGATAAATGGTTGTATCAACAATCTGGTTGTGTATTTGCTACTATTTTCCGTCCAGTCTCCCTGGACGGTAGTTGGCGCCGTGACAGTATCATTGGACAAAATACTGTGACCATTTGTCCCAGTCTACCCAGCTGCAAATGGGTACCTTGTGAGGATGAGGCT